GCTCCTGCCTCGCGCCTCCCTCCTGCTGCGCTGCTGGACTGAGTGCGGCGGCCGCAGCCTCCCGCCTTGCTCCTCCCGCCTCCCGGCGCTAGGGCCGCCGCCCCCTTCGCCCCGCCCCGCCCCTCCTGCTCCGCGCGGCTTGGCGCCCGTGAGGGGTGGGGTTATAGGCGGGGCCGACACCTAATTGGACCACGGGCGGTAGAGCCCCGCCCATATAGAGAGGGGCGGGGTCAGGGTGGGGCTAAGGAGACCGGGGCCTGAGTCCAGGGACCAAGGGGACTCAGGGAGCTAGAGACAGGGACTTAGACTCGGAAATGAGGAGGAGGTAGAGTCTGAGCAGAGTAGGGACCAAACGAAAGAAGGTTTCAGGGAGAGCAGGAGAGTGCCGAGGGAGAGGAAAAAATCCCTAGGGTCCGTAGGGAGTAAGAAAGAAGAGGGACAGAGTGAGGTGCGAGAGGCCACTTGTCCCTGTAGTCAGAGGCATGGATGGAGTGGGGTGTAACCAGGTCTTCAGTGGACAGACAGTGTTTGAGGGCAGAATACAGCAGGTAATATGAAGGACTAGGAAGAGGGTTATGGTGGGAAGGCAAAAGGAGGATGAGAAGGCCCTTAAATACTTAGACCTTGCAGGCCATGTCCCGGGGCCATTAGACGGCAGGGTTTCCAACCAGAGTCCCAGTACTAAGAGCGATTGTGCACTTTTTTTCTGGCTCCCGGGTGTTCCAGGGACAGGATCTTCTAGCTACACCTGTTCCTTCCTCAAGAACTCCAGACCAAACCAGGCTACTGTTTCCTGGGAAGGAGGACCTTACTCCATCTTCCTCTTATTACTCCCTGTGTTTGCTTCTAGACAAGGGAGAGTGAGGCTCTCCCCACACTATATTTTGTCTCCATTTTGACCAGTGCAAATTTGTCCTTAGGTGGTGCTTACCCACCCCACCCCTCTTCAGTCTCCAAGGGGCTTTGATCTTGCCCAACCCCTTAGCTTCTCCACCTTGGCCTCTTCAGCAGTCCTTGTTCTTTCCCCTACCAGGTTCTTTGAGGCAGTCCTCTTCTTCAAGTGCAGTAAAATGTTTAGGTAGCATAAACTGAAATGTGTCTGCTTCCATCAAAGTATTTGTCACATTGAGGCCCAGCTCTTGCCGCACCATTGCTTCTCCTTCACCGGGCTGTATCTAGCCCCCAGGGAGGGATCTGGCATTGGGAACATGACCCTTTAGCCTCTTTTCTCCAAAGAGGCCCCTGCCCAACTCACACTGTCCCCCTGATCTTTATGATGCTCTGGCTTTCCCTGCCCAAGGCTAAGGTTGCTTGCCCCTCCCGCATCCGGGAGGACCTGGCCGGCACTGACTGCTAAGCCCCACTACTTGGTATTGGGGTTAGAGTGACCACCCCACTGCCAAGAGGGAGCTGATAAAATTCAGTAAATAGCATTTGTTCAGTGCATTGTGTGTGTGAATGTGTGTGTTTGTGTGTCAGTCTCTGTGTTGAATGCTTCACAGACTCGATCATACTTGATCTTCTCACTCATCCAGGGCGCTTTAATGTGAATCATTATACTCATTTTACAGATAGAGAACTGAGAGATTCTGGCAAATTAAGAGATTTCCCCAAAGTCACACAACCACAACTTATAAGTGGTAGAGCCAGGATTCAAACTGATAGCCTGACTCCAGGCTCTTTCCACCTAACTGTAATGGGATCTCTTGGTGCCATTAGCTGTGGGAAGGGTATTAGGCATAGGGATCTGGGGGCTCTTGATCACAAAGACCTCCCCAGGCTCAGGAAAAGCAGTTCTCGACTTCCAGCTGTCAGTCTAGCCTCCGGTCCCCCAGGGCCATCTCTCCCAGTAGGGCTCCCCCCAAGAGCAACAGCGCTGGTGACCGTGGGACAAACACGCGGTCATTCGTGTAGGGCTGGCACACACGGCCCCCCTCCGCGTGTTGTCGCGCACGTGGGCTCTCTGCTAGCCGCTGGGGCTCGTCCTCCGCTCGCACTGCTCAACGCGCTGGCCTCCGAGGCCCAGGAGCCGGCGGGAGCACCCACCCGGGAGCCGGGAGCCGGAGCCGAGAGGCCCGCTAGGCGCGCTCAGCGGGCAAGGCGCCCCGCCCCCCGCCCCGAAAGAGCGCCCGCTCCCCCGGCGGTGTGGCGTCGCTGTCAGCCCAGCCGGATTCTCCCCGCTTCGCTGGAGTGGAAAATAACGGCTTCAAACTTTGCGGAGAGGAGCTGGTGCCAGCACTTTAATTAACAGCCATCTTGGCCTGTGAGCCGGGGCCACCCGCTCGGTGCCTCCCCTTGGCTCTCCAGGCCCCGCCCGGTCCTCAAGGAAAAGATACCCCCCTCCTTTCCTTAACCGCCCCCACCCAAGCCTGGCGCTCCCCTGCCGTTCCCCCTTCACTACCTCTACACACCTGAGAGCCTGCCAGATATGGGGGGGGGGCTGGTGCTGCCTCCGGAGGTGTCTTCCCAGTAAAGGCCCTTTGCCGCCCTTCTGGACACCCCAGATTCTTTAAGGCTTGGCGCTTGAAGATTCTGGAATTAGAGATTAGCCTGCAATCTTTGGACTAGTCACCTAATCGCAACACTCCAAGTATCCTCTTCTGTAAAGCGGGCTGTTGGGAGGATTAAATGATATGGAATGCATGTAGAGCTCTGGGCTGGTGATGGCCCTAATTATGCACCCAGTAAACAGTGGCTAATCTAATGAACCCCAGGCCTTGGGTCTCCACCTCCCTTCTTCCTACTGAGCACAGCGCTTGCCACTAGCAGACAATGGGCCTCAGCTTCCTGGCCTTTTGGAGACTGAAGTGAATGATAGAAGAAGGAACCCTGGAGTCCTGGCTCCCAGGCTCCTTCTTTCACCCCCTGCCAAGACCAGGAACCCAGGTTTTGAGAAAGGGAAGAGGTGAGGTCTGGGAGTGAGCGGGAAGGCAGCACTGTGTAGCTGAGACACCTGGGGGGATCTGGCTTTGTTTTCCCTCCTAGGTGGGAGCTCTCCCACTTCCACAGTGCCACTTCATTCCAGGGTGGGGAGGGGATGTTGGGCCCTGGGATGGTGTATGGAGGGAGCAAGAAGGTAGGTACAGCAATTTATGTATGACTAACTTGAGGAAACTGGATGGCTGGTTGGTGGTATTTTGGGGTGCTTTGAATGAAAGTGAGTGGGAGTGAATATATGAGAGACTGAGTGTCAGTGTGTGTCTGGGTTTGTGAGTGATGAAAGCAGGTGCCGTACCCTGACTCACCAGCTGGCAAATCTGCTATTATTTGTTCATTTGTTCATTCCATAAACATTTACTGAAAACATATAGCTAGGCTTTGCCAGGTGGTGGCGGTTGTATGTGGAAAACCCAGTGAGACTTAAGCAGTGCCTCGAAGAGCTCATTGTCTAGCTGGACACGCCCATAGGAAGCAATGATAAATGCTGTGATAATTATTTAGTTAACATTACTGAACATGAAGTGTAGATGTGCAGATTATCTCACTTAAATGTAACAACCTATTGTCATGCGTTTAACACTATTTCATGGGTTGTATCATTCAATAGCAATAGTTCCATGAGGTAGATACTATTATTTTTCCTATTTTGTAGCTGAGTAAACTACATCGTGGGCAGTTGTTAGTATTAGGTGCTATGAAGCTCAAATGAAGAGGACTCCAGGAAAGCTTTACAGAGGAGGTGTGACCTTTATATTCCCTCTATCCAGTCATTCAGCCATTCTCCATCCTCCGTCTATTCTGTACACCTGTGAAAATGGACATGTCACAGTGCTAAGTGTGAAAAGGCTCAGATTTCATGTAGCTCACAGTAACCTGTATTTATCAGGAAACTGGACAATTAAACAGGCAACTGCTATCTGCAATAGTTTGCCTTGTAAACTGCCTGGGATTGGTGGGGGAGCTATAGGAACACACAGTAGTAGCTCTTAAATGTATCTGATAGCAAGGAGCCACGGGAAGCTTCTGGAAGAGGTGAAGTCCTGGTGAAAGGAGTAGGTAAGGTGAAAAGACTGACCCCAAAGATAGAGGACAAGGGGAGGAGAGAGGGAAGGAAGAGTATTTCAGATAGAGGAAACAGCATATGCTAAGACCCATTTGCAGGGCCTTGTGGGCTGCGTCTAGGAGTATATCATTTATTCTAAGAGCAATTAGAAACTGCTAATGGGAGTTAAGTGAGTGATATAGATTGTCCAGAATACAATGACTGGCTACTGTGAGGAGGGTGAGGGGGGCTGAAAGTTGAGTAAGAGTGTCATCCAGAGCTTGGGTAGGAGGCAGTTGCCTGGTTCAGATGAGAGCTGACAATGGCCCTATTGGGAAGGCAGGGGACAGAATTTGCTGAGTTGATGACAGATTGGATGGGGTAGAAGGATGGGATTGGGAGGTAGGAGTAGGAGACTTCAGTGATTCTGGAAGGATCTTGACATGTTTATAAAATGAATGAAGGCTTTTATCTGAAAACCAGGTACTTCCCATACTCTATTCATTTAATCTCTTACTGCATTACAGAAGGATTATGTTTAAGGAATAAGCATTGTCATCTCCAGCTTAGAGATCAGAGAGGTTAAGTGACTTACCTGGTTAAGTGGTAAGAGGGCGAGTCAGGATTAGAATCAGGTTTGTATGACCTTAGATGGGGACTCTTGACCATTTGGCCCAGCGGGCACATACTGGTAAGGAAAGCAAGAAGAGGACACTTAGGGAAAAGAATAACGTGGGTCAAGGCCCAGGAGTATAAAAAGCATATATATGCAGCATATATAATATATATATATCATTAATAAGAGCATATATAATATATAGACACTATTAAAACCACTGGTCTACTGCAGGATAGGGGCAGCACGGGGAACTGGGCACCAAAAGGCACAGAAGAACTTTATAGGTCCAGTTAGGTTTCCAGCTTGCCATGTGTGTTTGGGGTTTCCTAGAAGGAACGAGGCTTCCTTGGAAAAGCCTCCCTTCCCCACTTGTTAGCGGGAGCAGGAGGCTTTCTCCCTGATGCCTTAGAACCTGGGTTGTCTTCCCCAGGACAATTGTCCAGGGAAGCTCTGAGAGGCAGCAATTCTCATGTTAAAGAAAACTCCCCGTTGGTACCTATTAAAATACTTTACATCCCTTCATGGCATTTTAACCCAGATACTTCTAGTTCCTCCATGGGAAAAACCTCCACAATTTCATCCTCCCTTTAAGGAGAAGGAATTTGGTGAGAAAGTGTGAGAGAGTGGAGCTAAGTTGTGCTTTGGTCTGGAGGGTGGGGGCGCGGGGGGAGGACACAGGTGGGCTGAACAAGGCTTGGACTCAGAACTCCTGAGTCTGACTAGGTCTTGGAAGCACGTTAGGAAGTTCCCTCAGGAGCCGACCCCAGCCCCTTGTTCGACCCCAGCCCCTTGTTCGGAAGAGGCAGCAGGATTAAGAGGGCAGAGCCCATCTAGCCAGGTTACAGCCAGGTTTCTCATGTTCCCTCACCTGATCTTGCACTTGGGGGTTCCGGGGAGCTGCCTGGACCTGGGTCCTCCCTTTCCCATCCCTCTGACCAGCCTCTGTCTGTTCCTAACCCATCTAGCTCCAAAGAGGTAGCTCAGAAAAGGCTCGGGCTGAGGGAGGGGAGACAAAATCAGAGGGGCCATCTCCCCTCAGCCCAGCTGCATCTCTCAGCTGCATGTATAAGTAATGAGGCAGTGCAGCCCCAACAGGAACCAATATAATGGCGGGTGCGCAGGGTCAGCCTGAGAGACAGATAGCAGGACGCAGGAGTGACAGGCAGTGCAATTATGCTGAGCCTCCTGCAAAGGCAGCAGAGAAAAGGGCCTGGTGGCCAGCGTGGCCCACAAGCTCTGCCTGCTCCCCACCCCCTCCCACAGGCCTCATTTTCCAGCCCCACAAGCTCCTGGTCCCAGCTCCCTGGCAATGTGGGAGAGGCAGTAGTAGGAGCAGTGGGGAGGTAGCCGCAGAGGAAGTGGTGCTGTGGGCAACAAACTGGTTTTCCTGGGCCCTGGGGAAGACAACCCAGGTTCTGAGAATGGGGTGTCAGGGAGAGAGCCTCCTGCTCCTGATAGCAACTGGGGAAGGGAGGCTTTTCCAAAGAAGCCCCGTTCCTTCTAGGAAAAGCATTCCTTGCATCCCCACTCCAGAAGGCCTAGAACTTTAGGCCTGCAAGTGTCCTAGAGACTTCTCTTTTGATAAAACAGGGAAACAAAGGGGGGAAGTAGCATTCCCAAGGCCGTAGGGCCAATTTGAGGCAGAGGCAGATAGGAGCCTGGGGCCCCTTTGCAGGTGGGGACCCAGGGGCAAGGTGAGGAAGGGCTGATTACTGATCTCCACACTAGGTGAGCCCCACAGACCCCTCGAGTAGTGGTAGAGTGGGGCTCAGAGCCCTCTAACAACTGGATGTGGGGTTGGAGCTGTGATGCTGTAGGATCCTTGGAAAGCCCAAATCCACCAAGGTAAGGGCAGAATTATCCCCCTGCCATTTTCAGAGAGGGGTTTGAAGTACTTCATTTCCACACATTTAAGGACAGGGGTGACTGAGAGGGGGTGTCCCAGTGGCAGAGCCAGTAGAACAGGGGTATTTATATGTTCATTAAACCAAACTCCCAAAAAGGGCCAGCTTCATGGACACGCAGACTGCGGAGGCAAAGGCCACCCATTCAGAGGGGATCTGTGCTCGGCTTCGTGCTCTGTTGTCACTGCCTTGAAACTCTTGAAAAGGGGCTCCACATTTTCGTTTCATCCTGGACCCCATAAATTATGTAGCTAGGTGCTGCCCATGAAACAGAGGTGTGGTTTATTCTGGGAGGGGCTCCCCTGACCCCTTCCTGCCTCCAGGAAGCCCCAAGCGGAGGGGAGCACAGAACCAGAAGAAGCTGGCATTTGCTGGGCTTCTTGGGGGTCCCCCTATAGTTGTTTACCATGCATGTTTGGGGTGGGAGAGCGCAGCTGCTCTGGCCTCTGGCCTCGGTCTCGCCCACAGCCTGCTTTTTGCCTGTCTGTGCACCTGTGTGCCCATCGCTGACCCAGGGCAGGCATGTGCAAGGAGGGGATGCTGGGCCCCAGGTCCCAGCTGCAGTTCCCTGTCACCTGGGGGATGTGGCTCCTCTGCTTCCTTCCTCTGCTTCAGCCACCAGTGCTGGGGCAGGAGGGACTGCAAACGGGTGGGGGGAGGCTTAATTAGCAGCCTGAACAGGCAGCAGGCGGTGGGCTCAGAGCAGGCTGACTTTTCCTGCTATAGATCTGCTCTCCAGGAGAGGCACTAGCCGGCTGGCTTAGGCTCTGGCTGGGCTATTTTAGGAATATTCTTAACTCTTCCTGTACCACTGCCATCACTGGACCTCTCTTGCTGAACACTTTCCTGCTCCAGCGGTCCTCCTCCTGACCCCTCTTCCCTAGCGTCTGCTCTCCCCCACCAGCATCTGAGGACACTGCAGTTTTCCCTGAGGAATGGGACCACTTTGGCCAAGGAAGGCGCCCATCCTGGCCTTAAGCCCTCTTTTTGGTCCTGGTCTCCCCCCTCCACCTCAGCACAGCTCTGGCCTAAGGAGCTGGCAGATTTCAGCATCACCCAGTCTTTTCTTCTCATCTTATGAAATTAAGGGAGTTGGGCTCCCCAACCTCATAAGAGCAGCTGATGGGAGAAAGATGGGAAGCCACAGTCCTGGTCTCTGGCCTCTGGCAGAATAGCAGTCCCAGGCCAGCCTGACTCTGGTACTGCCTTGAGGCCAAGTTTCCAACTGGGTGTCCTACATAAGCAGCCAGAGCCCCACATGTCATGGGGTCCACTCTCCCTATCTCCTCCTACTCCTGTGTCTGGTTTCTTGCCAAGGCCAGAATCTAGGTATCACCTGTTCAAGGCCTTGGCGGGCTCCCTGGGGTCTGGCATGGCCCAGCATGAGTAAATCTGCCGTTCCAGCTAAGTCAGGGAAGAGATCTCAGCTAAATCAGTATCGACGGTTTTTGTGCCTGTGCTGGGGCTGCCTGAGTCTGGGGCTGCCTGGGCCGTGGCTACCCCTCGGGCACATGCCTCTGGGACTAGAAGCTGCAAGCTGCCACCAAGTGCTGTTGGGTAAACTTGCCTTGGAAATCTAGGCACCTGGGCGGTGACGACACACAGATGCCCTAGGGGTAGAGGATACTCAGCCTCTGCCTGAGCAGGCTACTCTCTCGGCCGTCCACAGGGTGTCTGACACGTCTAGGCCATGGATGCTGAAGGGCCAGGGCAAGTGCACCGTCCCCGCAGGTCCCCATAAATCTCCCTCCTCCAGGCTCCCAGTACCAGCCCTGCTCCAGAAGTGACAGGGTGGATGGTGAAGCCAGGTGAAAGTGCTTTAGGCTCCCTAGAGAGCTGTCGAAGGAGCTCTCCATGGGGGTCACTGAGCTATAAAGTCTTCCAACCTTCAGTTTAGGAAGGTCCAGAGGTTTATCAAAATTCCTGGGGGAATTTTGAGTTCAGAGGGACAATATCCTCCAGGGATTCAGAGGTTTATTTCAGAAAGTAGGAAGATCCCTGATGGAGAGAACAAGGAGTCAGAGGTTGGCTGTATGAGGAGCCCCCCTGCCCCTGTCAGATAGGGTTCCCGAGACAGAGGCATGGAGATGTGTGGCTCTGTTGAGGTGTCCTGCTGAGGACACATGGACACACGGGCACGCGGGCCAACCTTTGCCCAAACCAGGAGCTGAACCCCGGAGTCCAGGCTATGGCCTCCCCAGTACGCCTGCCTTTCCCTCCTCGTGTCCCCTCCCTCCAGCTTCCAGACCCGAGCCCCAGCTGGTGGGGGGTGCCGTGCTCCTCAGCAGCTGGGATTTGTAAATATTTATAGGAACATGGAACAGATGAGCGGCTGACAGGCCCAAGGAGCAGGCACGGGCCCTGCCTGGAGCCCAGCAGCTTTCTTCCCTCTTCTCCACACTCTGACCTGATTTGAGGGACCGAGGATGGGGTGAGTGAGCAAGGCCAGGGGCTGGCAGCCTCCACATGCAGAAGCACAGGCTCAGAGGATGCACTGCCACGGCCCAGGCTGCCCCAGACTCAGGCAGCCCCAGCACAGGCACAAAAACCGTCGATACTGATTTAGCTGAGATCTCTTCCCTGACTCAGTACCTGGCTCTGCTTCCCCGTCAGGCACTGCAGCACACACCCACTGCCACACCTACCCCACCATCCATCACACATGCGCTTTCGACACTCATACATCCATGCTCACACTCACGTGAGTACACACATGCTTCCTGACTCCCACTCCCTTGCCGATGCTCGCTCACACGCACCAGCTGACCTCACCCATCCTTCGGAATCCCAGACTGCAGCCCCCCACCCCTACACACACACTGGTTTTAATCACAGGTCCTGGGAGGGAACCACCTTTTCCTGTTTGAAGTGGTGTATGTGTGTGCTTTTTATGCACAGGGAGCAAGAGAGAATAGTCTCTGAGATCAGGGGGTGAGGAGGCGGGAGAAGGAATTGGATAGAGGTGTGGACCAAGATCAATTTAGAGCTGATCTCAACCCTGAACAGAAGCAAGACAGACAAACCCAGGAAATGGAGACTGGCAAGGGTCGAGGCTCTGGGGGCAGAGCTGGGGACAGAGGCCCCCTCGCATGAGAAGCTGTCATGCCGCTGCTCCAGTGTCCTGTGAGACCGTCACCCCCCACCCGCAGCTGGAGCTGCTCCCCTCGGATCTTGTCACTGCGGCTCTGCTTTGCTGCTTGGGCAGCGGGAGTGGTGACAAGCAGGGAAGACAGTGCCCAGGGTAGGCTGGCTGTGCCACTCCAGTCCTGCTGCCAGCTCACCCGTCAGTGCCTATCTTATCACCCGCAGGGGCTCAGATGAGACCAGTGGCTGGTCCAGCTGCCCTTACTTCCTAGGGCCACCGTGTGGGAGGAAGGCAGTTGGACCCCCTCCCCCAAAGATGGGCAGTGCCAGCCAGAACTTGCCTCTGAAGCTGGGCTTAAGCCAGATCTTTGCTCCCGGGTCCCCAGAACTCACCATCCACGGACAGGTACCTTTGCATGAGGCTAGGGCTTGAGGAGGGGGTCAGGGAAGAAAGCCACTCCAAGGAAACACCCGTGTTTTGGGTGTTTTTTTTTTAAGATTTATTTATTTGTGCATACAGTACTGGGGTACAGGCCAGAGGTGCAGGGGCAGTGAGAGGATTCACCAGAGACAGAGTGGGGAACAGAACAGGCCGACTGAGGAAGTACACTGCTGAGGGGAGCAGCGGACAGGTCAAGAGAGGTCTGCCTGGCCATGTGGTCACCTCCGGGGCAGGCGGGGATCAAACTCGTGCTGCAGTGGCTTTAGCTTCTTAGTGCTGAGCTTTAACCTGCTGCGCCACCAGGGAGGGCCGGGCTTACACTTTTTATTTCATCTGCTTGACCACGCATAAAAATGGTCTCCCCACCCCCTGTACCTCTGGTGCAGTGTTAAATAACTTCCTTCCCACCTCCAGTCTGCCTCAGTCAGTTTGTACTCTGCAGTCTGGGAACAACCATTCCTATAAAATTAGAAGGCAAAAATATAATAAAAAGCAAGGGAAGTTGCATTGACTGCTGCTTCCCTGCTTTTAATCGTCCGCGCAGCTTTCCACCTCGGTTTTGACGTGCTGATTGATTCATGCTTCCCCAGCTTCATTCAGGTATTCATTCAACCAGCATTACTCATCCAGGTGCTGGGCTCCGTGCTGCATCCTGGGGCCAGGGCAAAAGCCAAGAGGGGTCTGGCTTGTGCAGTGTTTAGAGCTGGAGGAAGACCGCAAGCTGATTCACAACGTATGTCCAGCTTGGGACCCGGGGTCCTGGCCTTCCAGCTGAAAACTTGAAAATGACCCAGACTTTCCTGGCTCAGCATCGTCTCAGCTCTCTCCTGTCTCGGCAGACCTGCCCTCCTGGGTGGCCGGGCCCTCTGAGAATGGGGAGAGAGCGTGAGTGTGAGACTGAAGCTCAGTGTGGACACTCTGGCGGGAGGGACCGCAGGCAAATCATTCGTCTCTCTGAGCTGCTGTTCAACCCCAGTAACTGACCCCCATCACAGAGGTACCACCAGCTGCAAATGAGTTAAGTATATAAAGCACCAAGTTGGTGTCTTCACAGCTGCTGCCCATGCTAGCCCTCCCCTTGCCCCTGTCCCTTACGCCATGCCTCCTCACGCCGGATGGGGAAGCATAGGAGGTTTGGGGGTGGAGGAGGAGGAGGATCCAGCAGTCCATGCCCCGTGGTCTATGCTTTGTGCCGTCCTCCCAGGAAGTCTGGTCCTCTTGAGGGGAGCCTCTAATTTGGGGGCAGGAGGTGGAGAAGCCAGGTTTTGCCTCCTGGACCACCTGGGATGGGATGGCCTTTTTTCACCCCATTTTCCCTCTCTCCAATTCTCCACTTTCAGAAAGCATAATTGTGTGTGTGTTGGAGGTGATGGGACTGGTAGTGGGGGTGGCGGTGGCAGCTCATTTCACAGCCCTGTGTTTAGATTCGAGGGCTAGAAGAGAGCTGACTTCCTGATCCGTTGAAGGCCACTGCGTGCCCGGTGGAGTGGCTTCCATGACCGTGCATGGAGACTGCTGTCTCCTGCAGACCAGGTACATCAGCACTGAGACTGTGACTCAGATAACAGGTGACCGGACTAAGGCCCCCAGCTGAGACATGGGAAGTACTCAAACCTGGGGTCCTTTGACTTCTGACCTCCTGTTTCTTTCCCACACCATTGGGAAGCCACCCCCCGCCACTTTATAGGCGGGGAGTGGGGATCCACAAGGTTCACTGATTTGTCCAGGTTTGTGGCTGTTGGAAGCAGAACTTGGTCATTTCCTTCATGCTTCTAGGTTTCAGCAGCCTCCCTCTCTCTGGGGGCCAGGGTCTCGCCGGCGGGGACCGGCACATTACCCCTCAGAGCCCTGACAGGGCCCCAGAGCCCAGACCTTCTCAGACCCTTGGGACAGGCTCTGTGTCTCCTGACCTTCCTGCACACTGTCTGGTCTCCACATTGGAGTCACCAACACTCAGTTGCTGCCTGACCTTTTATACTTGACACCCCACCCCCAAATCTGGCCTGGGCCTCCTTTATCTGGGCACCATGCTGCAGCAGCTCTGACTGGCATTGAGATAGGGGTATGGGGGCAGGCACCCCCTGCCCTCACATCTACCCGGGTTCCGAGGTGGTAAATCTTGCTCTCCTCATCTTTTTCTGGCCCTGGACCTTAGTCTACTACTAAAAAAAAAAAAGTGAGTAACACGACCTTGATGCAGAATTGTGTCCAGAATGGGGCTTTCTCCCTGAGCAAGTCTCTGGGACTCACCTGACGCAGGTCCATTCCCTCTGACCCCTCTGAATGTGCCTCAGGGCTTTCAAAGCTACGTCTGAGTCATGGTCCTGATGATGGGGATGCTGAAGGTGGCAGAGTGGAGGTGAACGGGGTGATGGCAATCAGGTGTTGAGGGGATGTTGGAGGGGATAGTGCTGATGGTGGTCAGAGTGACAGTGATGGTGGCAGAGGTGGTGACAACGGTGGTGGTGATGGTGCTGGTGGCAGTGGAGATGGTAGCTCTTAAATGGTCAAAGTTAGGTAAGAAGACTGATTGGTTACTGTCTTCCTCTATTTTATCCTCCTCTGCTGTGGTAATAGCTACTACTTATTGAGTGTCACCTCTAAAACAGGTACATACTCAATACTTTCTATGTAAAGATGTTTTTTGTTTGTTTGTTTTTAAAGATTTATTTATTTGTGCATACAGAACTGGGGTACAGGCCAGAGGCTCAGGGGCGGTGAAAGGCTTCACCAGAGACAGAGTGGGGAGCAGAACAGGCAGATCTACGAAGTACACTGCTGAGGGGAGCAGCGGATGGGTCAGGAGAGGTCTGCCGCACCATGTGGTCACCTCCGGGGCCAGCGGGGATCGAACTCATGCGGAAGCGGCCTTAGATTCTCAGTGCTGTGCTTTAACCCGCTGCGCCACCAGGGAGGGCCGTAAAGATGTTTTTAATCCTCCCTACAAACCTACTTAGAGATGAGATAGTTGAGGCACAGAGATGTTAAGACACTTGCCTAAGGTCATACAGCGAATAGCAGAGCCTAGACTCGGCCCCAGCCCAGACCACAGTCTTGACCCCTGTTTTCTTGTCTGCCTCTTGGGCAAGCTCTGTACATAGAAGAATGGGGGGGGGGTTGTTCCATGGGGTGGTTCAACTACAGGATTTTGGGGGCAGGGGGGACGAGTCTATCTTCCTGCTTCTACCTTCCTTAGTAGCACTGGCAATGGACTCAGAGATCATGGACACGGGGGAGGCTGGGTTGCACCAGCTGGCGGTCACGGAAAGAACTGGGACACGGCAGGACTTTGTGTGGCCTCTGCCAGACAGCTCCCTCCAGCTTCTGGCTAGGGCTCCCGCCCTCAGCCTGGAGCTCCATCCTGCTGGTCTCCCTCCCTCGCAGGATCTCATTATATCCCTAAGAGAAACTGACAGCCTCAATATCTTACTTTGCAAATATAGTTTATTCCTTCAATAAAGCCGCCTGCGCAGGGGAATGTTTAAGCCCCGCTCTCCCTCGAGAGCCTCATTTGAATTTCTAAAGTCTTTAGCTCCTCCAATGGGGCAGCTGGGTAATGAAAACGCAGTCGCTTAGAGGGGATTCATTTCCTGTCCATTCTGGTCCCTGCTACACGATGGAAGAGCTGGCCTGGCCAAAGGGAGGACAGTTGGCTCCTTGGGTGTTGGAGGGCAGAGGCCTTGGCATGGGCCTGATCACCCAGGGATCTCTACAGGGACTGTAGACCCAGGGGCCTCCGCAAGCATCTCTTAGGCTAGGGTGCCCCATCCCCAGGTGTAGCCTATGACTCTTTGGGGATGAGGCCACTTCACCGGTTAGACCCCTCACTTCCGGACAGCCCCAACCCCAGGCCCCCATGGGAGTCTCTAATTAAAGGACCGGCACGCCCCTCGGGGACTCATTAGGCCCGCTGTGCAGAGAACATTTAATCATTGCTCAGAGCATCGATTGGAAAATCAATTTCTTTGTCTCTCTGCACGCAGAGCTGGAGAAGTGGGGGGAGCGCTGACCTCCTTCTGCTGCCATGTAAAGTGCTGCACATTTAATCAGGGAACAGAAATCAATTAGCCACTTACGAGGTTGGCTTTAGTTACCGAATCGCAGGGCCTGCGCCACAGCTCAGCGCTGACAGAAGCGAATCTGGCCTCTCCCACGCGTCCCGCCAGCTCTCCAGGTCCCCTCCCCACACTGGTACCTGTCATCTAGAAAGACCCCAAAGAAGTTCTGGGAAGGCTCCCCTCACCTCCAGCCCAAAGTCACAGCCTCGCTCCTGACCACTAACTCCCACCGCGCCACACCAGGCAGGGGCCCACTCCCATCCCTTCCACCAGCTGCTGTGGCGTCAGGGAAGTTTCTCAGCCCCTCAGTCTCAGTTACCCCCTGAGCCTTTTACTCACTAAAGGCATGATCATGTCCCTCACCAGACTACAGCCCCTGAGCGCACGTGAAGCGCCCACCAGGTGGCGGGAGCTCCAGGAAGACACTGTGCTGCCTCGGTGGGCGGTGTCCCAGTAGCCAGGTCAGAAAGGGACAGTGTGAGCTGGGGCCTCTGGCCACTGCTCCCCTTCCCCTCCGGACAAGACAGGTGGCCCGGTAACCCCCATCCCCTTCTCTTTCCCCTTGATTGCTGGGGGCTGGACCCCCCGGCACATTCTCCCACTCCTGCCTGTGGACCCTCCCTGCCATACAGCCCGGCAGCCCTGGTGCCTGTGATGACACGCCCTGCCTCCCTGACCCCGTGCTCAGCCCACAGCTCTGGGGTGTCAGCTCTCCAGCAATGTCTCACACACCCAGAATTATACACACCCAATTACACAGCGCGTACACGGTGCTCACGCCCCGTTACACGCAGCTCTGCCACTTTCTCTCGTACAGTCCCAGGTTGCACACACCGCCGTCCACTGCTGCTCACACACAGCTGCTTTGCCCTGTCACCCCCACGGGCTCTCAGTGGCAGGGCCCCCCAGCCTGCAGAGTTGCACACCCGTGGCCCTGGTGCTCACACACACACATGCGTGCACACACACGCTCCATAATAATATTAGACATGCCATTTCTTTTGCATGACAGTTCCAGTGGAGATGCTCAGAGCTGTCACTTGGATGAAAAATAATGCATAATCCTCGTCTTCCTTCCTTCCCTTCCCTTTCTTTCTTCCCTGTTTAATGAGCTCCTAAAAATATTCCTTGCTGTCTCGCCGAGGCTGTGGGCTAAGTGTGAGTCAAGCCTCCCTACCGCCTCCCCATCCCCTGTTCCCTCCCTCAGTCTCCCATGGGCTGGAGGATGGAGGGTCACGGCCAGTCTCGGTGCCCAGTCACTTCAACGTCAGGCAGAAGGACTCTCCCCCAGGTCTCTGCAGACCTCTGACTCCCCCAGCTTGCGCACCTGAGTTGGGGATGAGAGAGGCAGGTGAAACGGGAATGGGAAGAAAGGCAGAAGCCCCCCTCGGGTACTGATGCCCCTCAACAGCCCTCTGTGGTCCCCGGCCAATCTCACAGCTACCACCTGCTCCGTCACGCTCCCACCTCAGGGGACAGGCTGCACAGCCAGGTTTCCTTCCCTTCCTCCTGCCTTGCACCCTGCTGCATTCTCACTCCCAGAACTCAGAGGAGGGAGGAAGCACTTGCCTGGACCCCCAGCTTTGGCCAGAACCTGCAACTGTCTGCCTCTCTGCTGGCGAAACTGCAATTGTCACAACTTCTCCAGTTCAGCCATCAAGCCCAGATCAAAGTCACCTCCTCCCCGAAGCCTTCCTGATTCGAACAGAGGAGCTATGTACACACTGGCTCTTTCACAAAAATGTATTTTCTGAGGAGAAGCAATTGGCTGCTGTGCCCGCTGGGAACTTGTCTCTGCGGGACTCTCTCCAGGCTGCCTTTTGTTTCCTCGTGTACATGTGTCGCTCCTCCATACTGGGGGCCTGGCTTGTCAGCTTGAGTAGTGGGTGGATGGACGCGTGGAGGGGCAGATGGGAGCCAGAGTGTGTGCGTAGGTGACAGGTGCTTGGCAATAGAGGGGTCACGAGTCTGGTGCCCGAGTCTCTCCAGCTTCTGTGCACCTTCACTGTGGCTTCAGGAAAGGAAATGCCCTTGGGCCTCCGGTTCCCACCTGTGAAGTGGGAGCGCTGAAGACTTGCGGCCCTGCTTTGTTTCTCACATAGTAAGATATCAGGTGGAGTATGTGTGGCTTTAGCAACCGTCATCTTGTGCGGCCGCAGCCTCTGGCCAATGTGAGGACCCAGGCATGGCCTCTCAGCCAGTTCTCGGGGCTCTCTCCCCTCCTTCCCTCTGTCGTCCCCCTCTTCCAGGCCTGTTCCTGTGTTCCATCTCTGGATTCCTCTCCCATGTCTTTTCATTCTGTCCTTTTCTTGCTTTTTCTGGGCCTCTGCCCTACCAGTAATAGCTTGAGCAAGCCCCCCCTACATCCCCTTCTCTGTCTTCCCTCCCCCAGCTCACCTGCTTTGGAGCCCCCTCCCCCGGGCCTCCCCGGCTCCTCCCAACAGCTCCAGTCCCGAAAGGTTAAGCTAATAGCAGCTCCTTTCCCATCAGCTGCTCTTGTTTGCTCTACATAATTGCAGGAGAGGGGGCTGGAGGGGCCCTCTGAGTTGTAGCTGGTGTATAGGGAGGGGCCGTGCAGCCTGGCCCCAGGAAAAGGGGGGGCTGATCAGGGGGCGGGGGGGGCGGGGGGGCGCTTGCCAAAGTGGACGGAAGGCTGTGTGGGAGCTGGCTGTGCGGGACAGCAGTGGGCAGAGGGCCCTGCTGCTGCGGAGCTGCCTGGAGAAGGGGCCTGGGGCCGGAGAAGGCTGCCGAAGTCCTTCCAACTCTGGGAAGGAATCTCAAGGACAAGGACGGAACCCTAAGTGGCGTCTATCAAGCGCTTATGTAGTAGGTGCTGCTGGGTGCTACAGCTATGGGAAGCAGCTTTAGCTCCCATGCCCTTTTTTTCCCCTTGTGCCTATTTTGCAGACGGTTGAGGCTGAGTGAAATCCTCGCTGTGGTCACATGATGCTAAGTGTGGGAGCCCCTAGCAGACGCTGAGCCTCACCACTCCCCCTGCTCGGGATCAGAGCTTGCAGGGCGCTGGGAGACCCGCTCTTTGTCTGGGGGGACAGAGGGATTGGGGTCTGACAAGGTGGGAGCAAATGGCTGCCACAATTAGGCTGAGGGTTCAGATCTGACACAGGAGGTTGCTCCCCTTGGAGACTTTCTGTGGGTGCTGAGGTGGACAGGCAGGCCTCCCTGCTGCAGGGAGCTGGAGCGGGGATG